ATTCAGTAAATGGTAAAAAGCTAATACCTCCTTCTCAATCTCTCCTCTGGAAATCTTTCACCATCTCTGTTAGGCAGCATGACTGATCAGCACTGATGGATTTTTTTTTCCCCATAGCCATTATCTAATTTTAATTTTTTTCATTTTCTTTTCTTTCTTCTTCTCTATAGTACATCTGATATATTCCTAAGGGAAAAAGAATATACTTCTGACTAGTCCATTACTATGTTTAAAATTTCAATTAAATGAAAAGAAAGCTAGAAATTATCACTACTTGAATTCTGAAAAATTATTCTTGGCAAAAAACACAGTACTGTGATGAGATGATCAGGTTATTAGTTACCATGACTGCAATATTAATTGATTGCTAAGCTGAAATGCCATGGGCCATATCTTACTTATTCCCACAATTGTCATTGGGAGTTCCACTCATGGAACAAATAGAATTAAATAACCCAAGCCTCCCCCTCTCCTTCCCATGCATATCTCTCCCTTGTATTGCATCTACTTAATAGGCTAATGACATATGAGCAAAGTAAGTGTATGTAACCCTGAAATTCTGACTTTGTGTTGAAAAAAAAGTACTTTCTGTGGCACATTGTGTTAGAGCTTTTTTATTTTGTTTATTAGCATTTTTAGGTGTTGCTTAGCTTTAGGAAAGAAAAAATTAAAATGTGTGCCTTGGTATATTAACATTTATTTAATTCAACTAAGATATTGGAGTTCATGCCTCCCAGTTGAATGGGATTGATCTCAGTAGAGTTTTACTTTAAGGCTGACTTTGTGGAACAACTATGTAACTTTAAAATAGAAAATAAATGCCTACCGTCTCTGATCTTCAGTGTGGTTGATTTGGAGGATGAAAGTATGGATCTTGCAGTCACTCCACTCCATATATTTTCTAAGCCAGAGGTTCTAGCCTTGTGTTTGACAGCTATGGTCACTTGTTATTTTGCTCATTAATCTATCCAATGGCATTTTTGAACCTATGTTAAAGTTCACAGAGTGCAAAATGTTGCAAAATTATATTACAATTTACAAATTACATTTTACAATTTAAAATTACAAATTATATTGCAAAGTCTTGCAAAAATCCCTGTAATATTTGGCAGGAAATTCAGTGGTTCAACTATGTTTGTCTTTGTTTTGGCCCTGTGTTCTGATACTATTTCACCGTTCCCCCTCTTTTTTTTTAATTCCAAGGCATTCTGGATAATCACCTGTAATAATAATATACCTATTCACCTGTGATTCATAAAGTGGCAAGTTAGAGCAAGAAGTCTACATAACAGTAGAATTACAGAATGCAGAATTTATAAATATATTTTCCATTTATCTGGGCAATAACAACTTTCATTAGGCAAAAACCAAACACCAATAACTTCCTATTGATTCACTGATTTTACTGAAGCTTTTCAAAGTTGTCAGTTCTAAGTAGATAAAAATTAAAATAGAAGTAATATAAACACTCAGGGATAAAAATATTCTGAATATATACTTTGGACTGTTATGTTTTTTCCCAGTAATTATAAACAATGTTGTGTTGTAGAATTTATGCAAAGAAGTGGTGGTGTTATAATGCTCAGTGACTGCATCAGAGTGACATCATAATATGTCTGCTCAAAGAGTCAACCTTTGTTGCAGTTAAGTTCTGAGCAACTGAAGTAGCAACAGCAAGAAGGCCAGGCACATAGGGGCTCTGTGATTTACTTGATGCGTTCACTGCAGTGATGTACATCAGTAGACTAGGGGCCAGCAAACAAGCTGCAAAATGGTTCGCCATAAAAAGAACAAGATCCATGTAAAAAAATGTGGTGGCGGCCAATCAAAAACTGGTTCTCGTCGGGTGAAAAAGAAAATTTCAGCTATTATTATAATGTAAGTGCTGAAGTACTGTTAGTACTTCTGATTAATGTGTACAAGTTCTGATACTTCTGCTGAAGATTCTTCTTGTTACATATAGTAAAATTTTTATATATATTTATGTGCATTTTGTAAATAGTAAGTAAAATTACCGATAAATCAATTTGATGTTTCTATGTCTCAACGTATAAATTTGCTTTATTCGGGTTATTTTAAAGAAGCATTTTCACAATCAGCGGGTAAAAGGTGAACAACTAGATGTATTTCACAGAATCCACAATATAGTGTATGCATACATATATATGCACAGCCATGGAAATATAATGGAAATACTATATTTTATAATCAAGGTATAAATAGATGAAAAGTTGGCAAAAGGTACAAACTATTAAATGAGTTGATTATTGGATTCTAAGAATTTGTGATAATTAAGCATAGTTTGTATGGTGCAATATACAGCCTAATTTATTTCCCTTCCTAAATAAAATTGCCATCAAATTATATATCCATCTAACCATCAATTTATTCAGATGTGTAGACCCATATATGAGCCCTGTCCCTGTAATTACAGAATGGCAGTCATTAGTGAACTAATTAATGAGTAATATTCCCCAATATAAATCTTATTCTTCAAAAGGTCAGGAAAGTGTAGAAAATAGACAGTTATGAGATGAATGACTAGCCATTGTTTCCTCACCTTCAATGTTGTTTCAGTTAGGCTTCTGAAGGAAACTAATTCTTTTTGAGAAGTTACTAAGGTGATGTGTTGAGAGATCTTTAAGAGCTTGTACTTACAAAGGACTGTGCTTACAACATAATTCTATGTTGCAGTTGCTTTGCTGGTTAAGTAGGAACCAGAGACACTGAAACTTTCTCTCTCCCATAGCACACTGTTCAGTCACCTCTCATCAGAGAGCAGTGGTCTCGTGAAAATTGCTGGTTAAATAAACACTTTTTTCAAATACTCTTTTATCTGTTCTGTCTTCCTAAAGTAACTCCTATTACTATCATTTACAGACTGAATAGTCCTCCTATTTTACAGATGAATAGTTAAAAAGATTCGAGAAACTGCAGTGTCTTGCTACCCTTAATTTGTACTCCAGCAGCTCATATCTGCAGGGCTCAGGACTTGGTCCCAAATTCACATCTGCATCAGACTAGAGCAAACTGATGTAGAGCTCCGCTTCACGCTGCACAGGTGATGTGGAATATCTCTGCTGCGTGGTCTGAGGCAGCCTAATGCCCAAGGTCCTTTTATCGCTGCAATAATTTCATCTCATTTGAGTAACAGTTGGAATACTTACAAAAATATGTTTTAGAGATTATAAGGTTTATTCCTGATTATACTACAAATACATCAAATGTCAAATATTCCTCAGAAATAGAAATGTACTAATCTCTTCAGGGATGTTTAATAACACTGTTAGACTAGTAGGGATTTAAGTGGGCTATAACATAGTTTTTATTTAGGGAATAAAATCAATTTATAGCCTTTGAACTATGGCCAGTCTCAGCCTTGGTTCACTTTTGCAAGATAACTTGCCCAAAACCTTTCCTCTACACAAGTCCTGCTCCTCCAAAATAAATTACTGATTTTGGGCCTGTGTCCCACTGTCAGAAAGTCTCATAATTCTTGTCCATTCTGCTCCTCTTGCACTCTGTATTAAAGAGCCTTCCTAGTCTGATAATTCTATGCCCCTAAAACCCAGGGATATTCCTGAGCACAAATAAGGTGAAGAATCAACAGTTATGCTCAGAGTAGAAAGAAAAGACAGCGGCAGAGGTGACAACATGAAAATGGAAAAGGAAGTGATCGTTTTCCTCTCCCAAATACCCATCTGCAAATTATGTTAGCTGAATTGCCACCGAATATATTTCCCAAGAATCTTGTTCACTCAGGAGAAGAGTGCCAAGTTTTAACTTGACAAGCAGATTGTCTGATAATAAAATCACACTCAAAAATACCTTGTCCATCATTGCTTTGTGTCCAATTCACGCAAATGCGAGCAGTTTCAGAAAGACATCACCAGAGAAATAAATCTATGTAATCAAATAATGCTTGCAATTCAATTGATACCACTTTTAATAAAGCATATTAAAAAGGTGGCATGCTTTACATATGTTCAGGTCATCCTAACTCTGGGGTGTCCTGCGTAATTGCATGAAGGAAAATTTGTTATCTGACTAAATAAGGGATTTGGTTCTTGGAAAACCCCAGCAGGCTGAGTGATATGGGCAAATAACAGCAAGAAAAAGGTTGTGTTCCTACATCTGGTAGGTTTATAGAAGTGTAGAATTGAATTTAAGTGTTGAGTCCATTTTAAGAGAGTATTTAATTACATGTTTCTTCTAAATAAACTGATGTCCTCCAGTTCTGTGGAAGTGAAGATTCTTTTTAATACTTTTTCTATTTTGCAAGAGATATACATAGCTTTTCTAACTTTTTGAACAACTAAGAACTGTGAAAGCTGGCTTGTAATCCAATCTTGTATAATATCTTTACTGCTATAATTTTGTTACCCTGCCTTCAATAGGAATACAGATCTCCACACAGAAGGAATTAATTCTCTTTAATACTTTTATTGCACTGGAATAATATGATGAACATGTATACGGGGTGTTCATTGAAATGCATTCTCCATAGCATGGCTATGTAATACCATTTACTTTGCATGTAAGTATCAAAATATTTTTTGGACCATTTTGGAGGACAGATAGATGGACCACTGGTGTTCTCAGTTATAGCAGCAACCCCTCTTTCTATAGGTGCTCGTGTCAGCCACTGTTTTAGACCTCTCCTCAGGATTTTATAACTCATTTATTACACTTCAGTCCACGAAAGCTGTGGCATCTTTGTAGAAAAATCTTCACTTGCCTTTACTTGAATATCTTCCATTTGGGTATCTATCTTTTACCTTCTGGAACATGAACAGGGGGAGAGAGGGAGGATACCTGCTGTGCCCAGCTTCCGGGTGGCCTCGGTGTCTACCAGAGAAGACATTTAGTGCTGTGCTGAGTCAATTCTACAGGTGACCTCTGCTCCTGTTAAATTAAGTTTTGTTGGCTGTTCACCTGTCCATAGTCTTTTTGCTTCGGTCTGCCATCCTCTAAGTTACCTGTTATTAATTTTTTTGTAGGAAGCTTTTGGACACTGAGGATGAGCTCTCTGACATCCAGTCGGATTCAGTCCCACTGGAAGTGCGGGACTGGTTAGCTTCTACATTCACGAGGGAAATGGGAATAGTGAAGAGGAGACCTGAAGAAAAGCCCAAATTCCGAAGCATTGTGCATGCTGTACAGGCTGGGATTTTTGTAGAAAGGTGAGAGCTTTGTTTTCTTATTATAGCAAGTCTTTTAACACTCCATCTGTCGCTGAAGATCCCTTAGTGATGGAATGAACCTGAAGCAAATCTTTGAGCCAGGATTTAGGTTTCAATTTCTGCAATCACTGTATTTTTCTATACAGAAATCCCAATGAAACCTCTAAATTTGTAAGGAAATTTCCTGGACTTTGGAAAATTCTGGGAGTGAACTTTATAGCTTCGAAACTTCTACACGACAATGTATCAAAGACTGCGCTAACATAAGAGAGTAATACACCAGCAGAGAAGCTTGTCTCATAAGTTCATAGAAAGACTTAGGTCATCTTTGGAATCAAACCCTTAAATAGCTTAGCATTGTTTCACAAACTGTGAAAGATGAATTAAAAAAAGAGAAATTGTTCCAGTACTTTTTAAAGGAATACTATGACTTAATATTTTATTTGTTCTTTTAGGATGTACCGAAGAACTTCTAGCATGGTTGGTTTGGCTTACCCAGCAGAAGTGATAGTAACATTTAAGGTGAAATAAGTTTAATCATTGTGGAATTTGAATGTATTTGTACTTATGTTTAGTGACTTTTAGAGTGAAATGAATATATTTTGTCTACTGAACATACCCTAGCCATATTTAGTACTACAGAACTGAGCACACAGAACAGAGAAGTTAATAGTTAAAAATGCACAAATAGCATATGAGTCTATATATTCTTTCACTGCTTAGTTGTGATTTCATTTAGATGTTATTAGAGCAATAGATGAAATTTGTATAGAAATTTTTATAGAAATGTGAGACATGGTTTTATCAGCTCTGAGTGGTATGGTAATCAGTGTCTCGGAGAGCAGAATTTGTTTCCTTTTTAGGAAAGAAAAAGGAGTAGTAGTACTGGGATAGAGCTAACAAAAGAAGCTGCAGCTTATGGAATGAGTACAGTATTTGCTGTGAATTTAAGGCATTATTGTAGTTCACCCAAAGGGCAATCTTCTATAGTACTAAAGTTCCCATGGCTGTGTATGCAATTAAAAATGGTATTTCTTGAGAATGTAGTGCCTCACCTTTTCCCCTGAAAGTCAAACACTCTTATATTATTCTCAAATTGGTATATGGCTATAGTGTTAATGACATTGCGTAATAGCCTATTTAAAGGATGAGTATTCACATTAGCTCCGTGAAGTTCTATAGACAATTTGTAAGCAGAAAGTTAAATGTGAAAGATCAAGGCCTTTGATTTTAAGCATACAAAGTTGCATAGTTCATGTTACAAGTATTTTATTCATAGCTGGCACAACTATTTTCATTGTTAATATTGAAATAGTCATTAATGTGTTATCTACAGTAGGAGTTTGAAAGAGTTGGACAATAAAAATGACCAAAGTTTCCCCCTCCCCCCAAAAAAACCCAAAATATCTTTTCCAGTGATTAACTGGAAACCTGCTTAAACAGATGGAAACTTTATGTTCTTTTTCTTTTCCCCTCATCTACAGGATGTTGATAAATGGTCTTTTGACGTATTTGCCCTAAATGAAGCAAGTGGAGAGCACAGTCTGAAGTTTATGATGTATGAGCTGTTTACCCGATATGACCTTTTGAGCCGTTTCAAGGTCAGAAACTAGCCACAAATAAAAATATGTGTGCAAAAATAAGTATGTCAAGTTTAAAATACAAGAAAGCTAGGATATGTTTGAAATGGTATTTTATTGTACAATGCAGTGCAGAATTCCAAACAATATGGCAAATTGAACATTGTAATAAACCAATAGTTCTACCAAATGGAACTTCATCCAGAGCATGCAAATTTTTCTGCGACCCAAAAAATGGAAAGCTATGTACACCCGTGTCAAGTCAGTTTGGGATGGGACGTTGCTAGTGTGCAGCTGAATGCTGTAAGCATTAAGTAGACAGATAGTGTATATAGCCTGTTTACTCAGCAGTACTGAATCGGTGTCCCAGCTTCATGGAACAAAGATTCCTAATAAGGCAGAAAAGTGTAGTTAGTCCTAAGTACTTTTTCTACATCATAGTATGTTGCCCAACACTGCACAGGGGTTTCAGCTGAACCTTCCGCTCCTAACCAACTTAGGGGATATATAAAGAGAAGGCTGTTTTTCTGTGGTGTTTGCAGGGTGTTGCAATACAATATGGAGTATTTATAAGCAACTTTGAAAGGCTGAGATAAAAAAATGGATCAACGTGCCAAATTTATCATTATAATAGGACTGAATGAAAATTTCATTACAGTTTCAGACTCTCTCCACTGCAAAACACCATGTTCCATTTGAAGAGGCTGTGTCACCCTGAAATTGGTTTGAGTATTTTAATTTTAACTGATAACCCAGACTCAGCTTTTTCCATCAAGCTTTTCTCTTCAAGCTCTGGGTGCTTGAAGTCAGAACCACACTAGGGCTACCATTAGCAATGCAGTCAGAAAGTACACAATGTTACTGGCTCAGTGGGCTTAAGCCCATTCTCAGTCCCACTGTTTACCTTTTAAATAAAGAAAAAAATCTTAAGAAAAATATAATTCCATTATATTGGAAAAAAATGGGACTAGATAGTACCTGTACTTCATACATTGCCTGGAGGAAGAGAAGGAAGAGAAGGCAGATTATCAGATTCAAGGACATCTTGTCTCAGGCAAGGTAAAACTGGTGAAGAAAAAGGGATAATCCTATTGATAGACTCCTGTCTGTCATGCCTTTATTATATGAGCAATGTATGCATTCCTGGCACAGACATACAGACAGACATGTCTCGAAAACTATTCGGTTGATAGCTCTGCAGTTTCTTGTACACTAACCACATGCTGTGTGTGGTGTATGTAGAGGGATATAACATCTACAAGAACTGGGTGAAGACCTCCTGATGCATGTAAGATATTAGATATTTACAATTTAAATTTTACTTTTGTTGTTTGTTAACTAAAGTCTATGGTATATTTACTTATGGTTTATTCAATGCATGAATAACTTTGGAGCTGTTGCAGGAAAAAACCATTTATTTTAATTTTTGCTTCCCCCCAGATCCCTGTTCCCAATCTTATTTCATTTGCTGAAGCTCTTGAGATCGGTTACAGCAAATACAAAAATCCGTATCACAATTTGATCCATGCAGCTGATGTTACTCAAACTGTGCATTACATAATGATTCACACTGGTATCATGGTAAGAAATACTGTGAAGTTCAATTTACTTCTTTTCTCATCCTCTGCTGTTTTGGATACATGTGTGCATTTGTCTTTTCTTAAGGAAAAAGCTCCCTTGAAAATTGTGCAGAGATAGATCCAAAACTACCATTCAGGCTGTGAACTTTATGTAATTTTAACAGTTCTTCCAGGCTGGAACTCTCCTGATGCAGAGGAAAAAAGAGAAAAAAATCCTAAAACCCTTTTTGCTTTTCATTGGCTGGGCTTGGGCATTATATATCATACTAGAAGAGATACATTTGCAGGAGTGGGCAGGTGAGAATTTTTCACTTTCACATCAGAGTCTGGGAGGTGTGATCAGGCAAGGAAGCTTTAGTATCTGCTGAGGTCCTGGCCATTGAAAGAGATACTGAATCAGTGCAGGCTTACTCAAATACTCTGCAGCTGCTTTTTCTTTCAGTTTATAACCTTATTTAGGACTGCTCTTGCATACTGTATGTGCCTATAGTAGGCAGGAGATTGCATTTGCCTTGCACTATTGCAATATCCCAATATTTTTTAGCATTTAGGTTGGGAAGTGAAGTGAGTCTGTGCAAGCATTTTTACTCTAAACACTTACCTTTGATTTAATACCAGCAGTGGGAGTCTCCTCACTATCAGTTTGCTAGACAAAAGTAAATACTGACTGAAAGAAAATGGACATTTCTGTCAATGGCCTTTATGATTTGTCTTCACTATGAATGCACTTCTTTCAAAAAAAAAAAAAAGGTAGGAAGTGGTAGTGTCTGATTTCTGGTTTTAGGGCTGAGTCTAAATGTTTGTGCTCCAATATATACATAATAAGTGACAGTCGTTGACTTATGTTAAGCCTTTTCTCACTGGAAGCTTTGCCTTTGGCTTCAGGGGAGGAAAGAACAAGTACCTAGGCATTGCAGGGTTTAATTCTACTGTTTGAAATAAGTGTTTTGCTTCTAATCATCAAGTTTTTAAAGCTATATTTTAACACAAGTACTACTTGCAGAATGAAGCCTGGAGTCTTCAGCAGCCAAGATTCCTTTTCTTATTGAGAGGTTTTCTTAAGAAAGGACTTCCATACTAGACTGAAGAATAGGCTAGACAGCTCTTGCCAAGATCACTCCAAACCAAAGTTGTTGTATAAGATGTTCACCTATAAAATAATGTTTTAGTAGAAGAAAAAGCTTGAAGAGATTAGATCATGGTTCCTATCCTACCGTTGTCTTCTATTGTAAGATTAACTGCAAGCATTAAGTGGTGTGAGACATGTCTTTGTTGCAGGTATACATCTGGACCAGCAACTTAACAGGGAGGAAAATCCCTCTGTTGTCTTATGCATTATAAATATCTCTTTGGCCCATCGTAACTGTGCCCATCCGCCCTTCAAAAAAAGACAGTACCGTCCATATTTCCTTTGTGATGCCAGGACAGGTTTCCAACTTCCAGAGCTATCCTAGTCAATTTGGAATGTTTAGCCATTAATTAAACAACTTTGCAACACACTTTGTGTATCTCTGAACACTGAATGAAGGCACCTGTTTCGTATTTGTATATCTTCTATTCCACCAGGTGCACACAAGAATGAGAAAGGCCTCTCCAACTCAAGTTTTACAATATTAGCATCTTAACCTTGCAACTGCACTTTGATGTGATGTGGACAACTATTTTCAGAAGAGCTTAGACTTTATTTCTGTTACTTTGCTGTAAAACCTCATTAAAGTTGCAATGCTGCTAGAAAATATTCCTATAAAATTAGGCCAGGTTTTAAATATTCACATTTGAATTGCTGAATTATGATATTGGAAAGTTCTTGGAAAGATGTCTAACTAGGACAACACTTAGTCAAGAGTGCCTTCAAACAGATGTAGCTTGCCAGGCAGAAAGAACATTTATAGAAATCAGTCTTTGAAAGAAGGCCTAGTGATTCTGCAGCTTGCAAAGTATTTTTGTCCCAAATGTCATTTGCAGTTTGAGAACGCATCAGTATCATGCGAATGTTCTATTTAATTTGTTGGGTTTTTTTTCCTGTTGCCTGGTTAACCCTACAGAACCTTACTCAATAACAATTTGAAGTTTCCTTCTCAAGCGAATAGTTTTCAGAGTATGTCCATTGTAATGCCTCTTTTAACTCTGCTGTATCTTCTAACAAATACCTGGATTGGAGTCAATTTGATGCAATTCTATATCAAATTCCTGTATGTTTTTTGCAGATTGGCATGAGATTTGAAGTTCTTGTGGTTTCATTGTATCTTAAGGAACTGATACTGACTCCCAAATCTTGCAAAGAATTGCTGTCTTCCTTGTTCACTTCTGAAAAACATACTGAAGCAAATTTTTCAAAAAGCTGGGTTTTAGAAAATTCTTTTCACGATTCCTGTTGTTGAGGTCATACATTTTGTGTCTTTTATAGGCACCTGGAAAACAGCCATATTTCAGCATTTGCCAAAAAACTTGGCTGGTCAGAGTTTATGCTTCTCCACAAGCCTTTAGAGAGAGTCCAGTGAAGAATAACACATATTCAGAGTAGCATTTAAGGAAATAAAATGATCATTGTTATTTTCCAAAAGTTACTGTCTAGCTTAAGAAACAAGATCCAGCCACCTGAGATCAATGTGTTAGAAAGTTAGATATCACAGATGGCACACAATCTATTAACCTTCCCAAGAGATTAAACCCCAGATGATACGACTGAAATATATAACTCAAGCTTGCATTTATGAAGTGTTCATCTTTATAAAGATTTAAGAATCCAAGTCCTAGGGAATACATCTTGTAAGGAACTTTTGAGTCATCGATCATCTTCCCACCATCCCTTTTCTCCTCCCACGTACCTGTATTGCTCAAACTAAAGGAAAATTGTCTTTACTGTCAATAAGTGCATTGTGAGACTCCCATTCTTACTCATTTTTTAATCCATCATTGTTTAAGAAAATAGTTGGAACCAGAGGTCATGAAAAGTTAAAATGTGTCTGTTTACTTATAAGCAATTTATAATACTGGAAAACATCTCTCAATAGAAGAGATCTTTTCCAATAGATGTTACACCTGCAGCTCTTTGCAGTCTTGCAGACCTCTGGATACCTGCTTTTCCCTCTCCCTTTGAGAAAAGCACTTGTTAACTGTCTCTCTAAGAGCTTTCTCCTGCTTTCTTAGAAATCCTTTAGGTAAAGTAGTTCTTTGATTCTCTGATTTGAACACTGATCTGAATTTTGACTGTACAGCTACGGTCTTTAGAATACTTGCTCTCATATAGCACCATATGAATTTCGTGGGTAGCCCATAGATGTTTGTAAGGAATGCTCTTCTACTTATAAATGCATTGTCTAGCAACTATTTTGGTTACTGAAAAAGTTGATCTTTGAAAATGTGTCTTAAAGAAAAAGTTTATGTTTAGCTTTAGTTACTAAGAATTTCTGGGTTTCTATTCTATTTGGTATGTTGAAAACATTGTGAAAGCCAGGACCGGTCATGGCCTGGTTTCTTGTGACACACAATACGATGAAGGTCATCGTTTCCATTTTTAGAACTGCTTACAGTACATTCTCAGTCCTCTGTTGTGACCTTTTCTAATCTATACCGCTTCACCAACAGTCAGTACTTGTTGTTCCTTAGCAGTCTTATTTTGTCGCTGCGTGACCTATTCCATTATTCTTGCATTATTTATGAATCTTGACTGTTTCCTTTCTTCTTCTTTGAAACAAGTACTACTATTGGCAGCTTATAGTACTTCTGGCAGCTTATACATATTACATCCATTCATACACATGTATGTGCATATATGGGTGCATAAGGATGAGATCATTCTTCAATCCTTTAGTACAGAAGCTTACTTCTACACTAAAAAATTCTGAAATATGTGTGGAAATGCTTGACTGGCATTTGACTTAATCAGTCCTATGACTGCGGGGGTTAATTATCGTATGATTTTTCTGCCCCCATTTTTACATGGAGTAAAATTTCTCCTCAAGGATGATTTATCATTCAAGAAATAGAACTTGAAAGGTAAAATAACAGAAGTTATTTTACAAACCAAATGATACACAACAGCCTCAGTTAGCAAGAGGTATAAAAGTGCACAAAACTTTAAGGTCTGCATTATTTTGTATACATGACCTGTATCACCTTTTGTTCTGTGTAACTGTATACTAGCCTTATGTACCCTTTTTTTGCACTAGTACAAAGTATGATAAAATTTAGAACAGAAAAATCTCTCATGGGCCTAATTTTAGTTCTATGTACACTGGTAAAATATAGTTAATGCTGATGTTGTACCTAGAATTTATTATGAACTGTATATATTGTTCACTAAAAGACAAATTATAACCTTAAATTCATATCAAGTTTTTAGATTAATATACCATAATTTGGCAAGTGCCATGTATGGGCTAGCAGATTAGATACTTCCTACTCAAAACAGCTACAAAGTATACCATGTAATTATCTTTATAACTTATATTTTTGGCTGCCAATATTTACTTTGCTAGTGACCCTAAGGACATTAACGTGGTCTTAGAGAAATCATAGTAGTAGAAGGAGTTGTTTTTCTGTATAATACTGAAGTCTTATGGATATATTGTTACCTGGAATAAGACAAGAATAAAGTTTACTGAAGTTGAAGGTAATGCAAAATATTTCCAGTACTGTAATGTTTAATCTGAATTAGGCTATTATAGAAGTTATGACTAAGATTTGGTTTTTGCTTACCAGCACTGGCTCACAGAACTGGAAATTTTAGCAATGATCTTTGCAGCTGCCGTCCATGATTATGAACATACTGGGACCACAAACAATTTTCATATTCAGACAAGGTAAGCGAAGCAGTCTCTTAAGTGCCGTATCTGGAGTTTGCTGTTCATTGGTCTGAACTGTTTCATACCTCTTACTGATATAGCCAGGAAGTAGCCAGGTCATTCCTGATTTTACAAATTGCTTCCTTGACCTCTGTACAGTTAATGGGAGTGCTCACATGAGCAGAGACAGTGTGGAAAAGTAAGGAGATAGCTCCATAGTATTTGAAGTAATATTTTGGAGTTGATACGTCAAGAGAGATTTCAAAAAGATTCAGAACACAGACTTGAAAACCCCTCACCCCTCTACTTGCTCACTTAAATTCTGATACTTTCAACTCAAAAATTTCTTCCACAGCATCCCCAGAAAAATATCACTTCACCTTCAGCGATGTGTCCGCACCTACTTCAGGTGCTACATTTTGTTTCAAGTTGTGTATTAAACTTACAGGGTCCTAGTACAGAGGGAGAAACCTTCAAGTACAGCTTTAGAAATATCTACTACAAGTCCTCTCCTAGCATGTTTTGACAGCATCTGCAGTAGTTACAAAAAAAAAAATCTAGAAAGAAATCCAGTTTGAACATCAGGCTAACTGTATCCTCATGCAGGCGCAGTGTGTTATCCTAGCCTCTGGTCCAGAACAATAGCATATACCTCTCTCCCTTAAAATATTTTCAGCTTATCAAAGGAAAATCACTGACCAATCCACTACTGGGTAATAAATGGTACGCCTGATACTTAGCCTAGTACAAAGCATCTTATTGTTCTCTCACACTAGGCTGTACTTTGTTTTTAGTGTCCTCAGTTGAGGAGTCTGCTTTACCTGCTCTTGAAAAAAACATTTCAGCGAAGCACTGGCATATTCTAACCAAACAGCTCTGTGCTAGAAATACTACTGCTTTGAATAGAAGCATCCTCGCACTCACCTATACAGAGAAAGTGCCCAATGGTTACATTTAAATTAAATCTCTAACATACTTGTGCCCCAAGATGTGCCCTTCAATAATGAACAAATTCTAGATCTGCAGCTGAAACAAGGACATAATTCTTTTCTCCCTCAGCATAGTCTGGCTAAAAATAAACTTCAGTTTGTTGTTCCAAGTTTATATTACTTTTCTATTTTTGTCCTTAATATTTTGCTCTGAAGTATTGCAACAGTGGAAAATGAATTAACCTGTTAGCCTTTGAATTTTACTTGGGCATGCTTGCAAACAGGTATTTGTTTTGTGATGGAGCTCACTCTTCCCTCCTAGTGGAACTTGGCCCTGATGTGGCATCCCAGGGCTGCGATTCCAGGCTTCTTTTGCCTGAGAAAAGCTGATGAAATGGTTTTTACAGTCATAGCAAATCTTAGCGCTGTTTAAAACTAGCCATCAGTAGCTATGTGGGTCAAAGTGTGCCTCATAAACACATGTGATGATTGGCAAATCACAGATTTTCTCATTATTTTATTAGGATTATGGATGTAAATATATTCATTATTTAGGTAGGTTATGGTTTGTTCCCTCTAAATAAATTTTCCAATCCTATTTTAACTTTTTAGATTCTTTGATACCATACCGTACACCTGGGTGGTTACACTGAATATATACAATAGTAATAGCTCAACAGAAAAAAAGGTTGAATTTACCTTATTAATATCATAGTAAGCTGCACTGCTAAATCATCACACCTTTCTTCTAGTACAGACTTTTCAGCTGCCCAAATTGAAATACTCGAAAATAGTTTTATCAGAACAGAAGTGTAGCAGAGAGGGGAGACCTGAGGGTGCTTAGCAAGTCAGATCAGGTCTTGGGGAAACAAATTCTCCAAGAATTAATGAAATTTGAAGCTAAGTGTGATAAATCCATACTGCATCAAAATTTGTGAAAATCTATATATAATGGTGGTATTGTAGGTTAGTCTTTAATTAAGAGGGAAAAGATACTGTCGAGGGTGCTAACGTTATGGCAAGGGTCTGGCTTTAGGAAGCACTTGAATGCAATCAAATTTCAGCTTAGCATATCTTCCATTCCTTTGTTATGAGCCTCAAGGTTTGGCTGTTTTTCTGACAAAAGATGGCATCTGTTTAAAACATATGAAATTGAAATTTTAACATAGTTTACTATTTACAGCTCCTTCTGATTATGAGTGACATGGGCCAAAGCACATCTCTCTCAGAACAGGGATAGTAACTTCTTAATACCCATGCTATGTGTGGAGCCCCCTCTATTTTTGAATGCATTGCATTTTAAATGGTTGTATTGCCAAAGACTGCTCTTGAATAGCCTAATTAAAGCATTTCTGTTGCTCTATGATCCTATCTACAGTCAAGAAGCTCAAAGACCTCCTCACAAATTTTTGTCACAGTTATATAAATAAAACTTTACACATTTAAAAATATTACTTTCCCACAAACAGTATATAAAATGGAATAATAATAATAATTTTAATGCATTTAGGATGGAAACTTGATCAGTATTTGATACAATAGGAACAAATAAACATAGTTTGAGATATATATATCTAGTCAATAGTTCTCATAACGAATACACAGTCCTACCTTTCCCAGTGCCATCATCGGGATGCTATTGCAAATTCTGCCTTTTTTTTTAACACTAGGTCAGATGTTGCAATATTGTACAACGATCGTTCTGTTCTTGAAAATCATCATGTAAGTGCCGCTTATAGACTCATGCAAGAAGAAGAGATGAACATCCTGGCAAATTTAACCAAAGATGACTGGAGGTAAGACCTACTGTGACATTCAAACTTAATTCCAGTATTTAAAAATAATAAAAAACACCAGGCCTTCCCTGCGGAGTCTATTTTAAGAGTTCAAATTACAGGAAGGAGCTTTGGCACTGGAAGGAATAATGGATATTTAGAGCTTAGGGAAGGCTGCTGTGGTGTAAAGAAGTACTGTTTGGGAGACTACATATAATTTTCCAGTTGAGGTTGTGCATTATGAGGCACAGTGTTGGACTGTGTGGGCAGTGTCTCAGGTGAGATAGCCCTTCAGGAAAACCACAGTGCTGCCCCTCTTGAGCTAGGTTGCCTTTGTCTAACAGTGGGTTAAAACCTCAGTGCAGGGTCACACTCTGCTGCCAGCTTGAGCACTGCTGCCTCTGGGATTTCTGCTGCGTAACATAGCACAGCATAGTCATATCTTGGTTAAGCATTAAAAAATGAATTATCTGGAGAATCCAAAAATAATAAAGGCCCAGAAGCACTACAGAAATCTCTTTTTTCTTCTTCTTAATTTTAGTGTAATTCCTGAAGAAAATTTGACCAGCTGGAAGAATCAGGATCATAATTGATATGTCACAAATACTAAGACCTGTAAGACCAAAATGAACAAGTGTTAGAGATAGGGCTTTCTTCATTATTAAAAAGGACGTTATCTTTGCATATCTTTGACCGCTACGTATAGCATTTAAAATATGAGTCCTCTGTGTGTTTCTGTAAACATAGCTATTATTCAGAGATCCTAAAAATAACTTTTAAATAGATGGACTATGAAGTTCTGCTTCCAGGAAAGTCTCCCACTGTGAATGATGCCACCATGAATAACAAAGCTACACTCCGCTTTATTTATATTTTCACAAAACTATACATTTATGAAGGAATATGTGAATGTCAGATCAAATTTTGGTGTGGTGTATGTTTACAGATGAAGGTCTGTTTTATATTGTAGATTTACATGATTTTACTTATCTACATGATCAGAACACCCCTAAATAAAGCATTTATTGAATGTAAGTCTGCCAACCCTTTTGGTTTTCAATTCATTATTTTTCTGTAGCTACTCCAAAACACTTAATATTAAAGTAATAATATTTTTTTATTTAATACAAAGTGAGAGAGGAAGCATACACTTTTTCATTCTCATAAATGATTTCTTCTCAGAGGGCACTCATTTGGATTTAGTTATCATAAAGCTTGTGTTGTAAATTTAGTTCTGGAGAAAGACCTCTGGAAGTAAATTGTAAACTTTAGCAATAATTGTCATATACACCTAGATTTTCATTGCCAACATGAGTCAGCTTTGCTCTGCTTGGACCTATTTTGGACCTAATAGTTTTGGGGCTGTGACCCTATTTTTGCTTGTCCTAGCTATTGAATATGGAGAAAGTGATTGTGTCAGTAGACAGCCATCAGAAGCTAGTATTCTGTCTTTTAACATCATTGCAGAGAGGTAATGATTTTCAAATCTTCAGACTTGTTGCCTTGAGTATGTTTTTTTGAAGTGGTGGTGTTTCATATTGTGTCCTACCAGAGAATGCTTCCAGGTAGAAAGGGGCAGATTTTCTTCAGTTGAATTTCAGTTCAGGTCTGGACCAATGATGGCTTGAAGACACTTACGTGCTTCCCCAGCCCTGGCTCCTTCATCACTGGACACCACCATAAATGAGTATAGTTTGGGAATCCCTGCAGCAACATGCAGTTGCTCCAGCTGGTACAGTGCATCCCAGATGTTCCCTTTTGTTATGTCACTGGGGAAAAGAGTGATAGGATGGAAACTCCTGTGAAAGAAAATATTTCCCAATGGAAAGAGGAGCCTATAGTTTCCAAGTGTGTGATGTTTATACATATTGCTCTGGTGAACTGCAACAGCATAAAGGGAGGAATGTGATAGATTGTCTTCACATTTCTGAAGCACACTCTTCTCTGCATAGATTGCTTGGTCTGGTCTTCCCACAGTTTTTTTTCTTTATGTTATGGACCCTTTGCTCTAATTTCTGTTGCACTTCATGTCCGTGTGGTTTTTGAACCTGTGATAAACTACCATGTTCCTTTGGAAGCTGCTCAATCACAGACTAGGTGTGTTTGCACTTGCTTTTCAATCTCCTCTCACTGTAACCCAATTTGGACTTCCTAGAGGATTTTATTTTAGTTTCGTGAATTTTGTCTGTATACAGTGGCTGCACAGATCCAGTCCATTATAGGCAGCCAGTTTGAAGTTGGTGGGATTTGGCAACCAGAGAAAGTAGAATTTATTGTCTCTTGTTGGGGCTATTCAGTACAACTTAGAAGAGATGTATGAACTGGGCAATAAGCTCAAGCAACTAAATGAGAACATGCAGTTCCATGTTTTGTCGCTTAGCTAGGCAATTACAGTCTGTACTTTCAAACAGACTGGTAACTTCCAAAGTGCCAGTCTGAGAACCTGCACAACCTGTTGAAGTCTGATACTTAATTTAGAAGGTCAGTCATGGAAATGATGGTTTCCTGGTATTCGTTTCTAATATCCAAAAATACCTGTTACCCTGTCATCACATACGGTTGTTCATTGGTGCAATGACAGATCTGTTAGCCACTTAAAAGAAGCTCTTTAATTTTCTAATTATTACTAGAGTGAACTTCTTGGTTCTATACTGAAATTCATGCTGTTAGACTAATAGTTTTGAAGTTTGCACCGAGTCAAATTGGCAGCAAATTGAAATGGTAATTTGTTCAACTTTTTAATGTACTTCCTGGCACTGATTAATTTCTTGACTACTGTCAGATCTGTTTTCTTCAGTTGCAGTGATTTCATTTTTTAAAAATTTAATACTCCTGCCTATTTAAACTGTGGTTCTGCTAATTATTTCAGCAAGATGAAGCAAAATGACTGAGAATGACTTTATAGTATTACATTTTCTTTTCTACATGCTAACATTAAGAAGATAAATGCACTAATAAACTGTCAGCTTCAATTAAGTTTAAAACATAGGGTTTGGGTCTGAGCAGGGAAACACTGCCAGCATTCTGATGAGGATGTCCTTTGTGGATAACACATGTGACATTCATAGTCTTTTCTCACCCTTTTCTCAACTCTGAAAATATATTCCAGTCTTCCATATTGTCTTGTTTCTCTCACTTAACGCCCCTAAATTACTAAAGAGGGATCCCTTTCTATCCTCCTTTCTCCTTTGATTTACCAAGCTTCTGGTGTTCTAGCGCCCCATGTGTTATGTCAACAGTTATAGGTGGTCAGGTGGTATTAGTGTCTCAAACCATTCCCGTCATAAGGCATACATTGCTATATTGCCTGTTTATATAAAAAAGACTAAAAAACAATGTGCATTATATAAAATGCAAAATGAACAACTTTTCTTTCACTACTTCCCTTGTGAGTCTTCTGTCTGAGGAAAGCAGGATTGCTATAACTTGCAAGATGAACCTTATGTCTTCAGCTGCCAACTTGTTTTTGCTCATCTTAGCCTGTTCCTGCATTTTCTCATTAGTTTCCCACAGACTAAATGTCTTTGTCATGGACAAATCCAGTTAAAGCTGGTTTCTGTTTATGGGTTAACTACTTTTCTGATAAATTAATGTGCCACTCCTTTTCTCTTGTTTATTACAGCATTATTAATGTCATTTTTTCACACCATCTTGCATCTACTTTTTTACAGTATCCTATCCATAGGACATACGGATATAGGAGGGTTAAGAAAGGATGACAGCACAGGACATGACAGTTTACTTAAGAAAGGTGGAGACTGTATACTCAAAACCAGTAATCTTCCAATTGTGAGCCCAAAAAACCACTATGCGCTGTACGTGAATGCTGTTACCACTTCCCGTCATAGAACGAAAGAGGGCAACACCTACGTATCTTTTTGCCGTAGTAGCATGAGCAATGCTAACTGTATTATCCTGTAGCTGTGGACTGCTTAATGAAGTGGGCAGAGATTTCTGATAGGAGTTACCTATGAGACCACCTGAGGTCTCCTTCAGTATGGAAGTGGAGAGGGTCTTTTTTCCCCAGGAAACGGTTTGGAAATTGTTTAAGTCCAAGAGTAATCTTCTGTGCAATAGTAGTAGACTGAGCATTCATAGCTCTCGTAAAGCTTTATTTACCGTTTCCCCATCACTTCTGAATTTTCTGTCTCTCTGTTGATGATGGATGAGGCTGCAGGCAGGAAACAACCCTGGCCTGTAGATGGAGAGCCTCTCCTCTGCTGTTAAGCAGCTTTTTAATCTTCAGAAGTGTGTGAGGATGACAGTGCTACATTGTTTGATCCTTATTCAGGTGATGGAGGTAAGAATTAGCGTTTGTCTACTACCACCACAGTGTGAATCTACTGGAAGCAGCTTTTTGCTTTTCTGTGCATCTTGTGTAGTAGGGGTGGGCTTATTTCTGATTACTCTTCAGACATGGAAAGTTCCTAGGAAAATCTCCCATAGAAAAGGGAAGTGAAAATGATTTCAGTCTTACAAACAACAGGGTTTAACAATGCAGAACCCTCAGTTTTCATGCAGTGTTAGCCGTTTTTTTTTTTCTTGTTTTTTTTTTTTTTAATGGGTTTGGCTGTATTTGAAGGGTACAGTTTCAAAGCAATGTGGAGGAGGAACAGTTGGGATGCAAATTAATTACTATCTTATTATGAGGTCAGATAAGGTAAGGCATTTTCTAAACACAAGTTGCTATGGCTGCATATTGAGTAGAAGTGAGAGGACTGAGTCTTTATCCAGTTACATCAAAGCAAATCAGGAATAAATACACAAAAATCAACGAGGAGTATCAACTTAAATATGCAATTAATTTGGCTCAAAAGCAGTCTTGATAGTTTTCATAACAAACTATTCTAACAGCCCTAAAGAAAACTGCAATTTACCTCTTTAAATCATAGTCCTTTGAAAGAAAAGTGCATTGTTAAGTAAATCAAAGATATGAATACAATATGAAAGATTAGTCAGAATGACTAAAGTAGGATTCTACTGTTGTAATTGATACTTGGACATCCTTAAGATTGGGAGTGTGCTCATGAAGATATATGCTACATAATCAAAGATTTAATGTGGTGAATTGTCCCCAATATACATATAAGCAACACTCTTGCACATAAATCCTCCTAGGCCATTTAAAAAGCATGTAAATAAAGACCCAGTAGATTACTACATGGTCTCTATACAATTCTTCTTCATCAAGGAAACAGGATTTTCCAAATCAGTAATTATTGTTGACAAAATTAATGTACTTTCATATACAGTGAGAATTAATACACTTTCTTACATTATTCATGTTTTACTGTTTTCATATTCATTTAATAGAAAGCTGATGGACAAGCCAACATCTCTGACCATAATACCAAGATATAGACAAACTATAAATCCTGAACTTGTTCTGATTCATGAAATAGGCATTAAGCTATTTTTGAGATGAAGGGTACTTTGTCATAATGTTCATATATTGGTGTAATATTGATGGTGTTTCACATGTAATACCTCTTGCTCTTCTGAGTGTTTCCACAGCCTTCTTCCTAGGTTTAGTGTTATGCCTGCTCTGCAGTTATATGAGGGTGGTAATAAAAGACACAGATAGATCCCCTTGTGTGGTGGTAAGCCCAGAGACTGACTGGTTTTTTGAATACTCTACTGTTGGAAAAATAAGGAAAGACTCATAATGGCTGACAGAACTGCATGCAATTTTAGTTTATACACTAGAAAAGAGGAATTACAAAACAGTGTGACTCTGAAATAATGATTGCAGAGTGCATTTTCTGAAGTACATTGCTTTCACAGAATCCCTTTAGGATACAACCTTCAAGTTGTTAATAATTTATTTAAATGCTTTTTAAAACATAATAAACCCCGTGATGTTGTTTAGAAAGTTATAAATTAACAAGTACTGCTTAAACAAATGTACCATACATAGAATAAATGAATTGTAATCAGTCATTTTGCTTTTAATTATTCTTAGGGAGTTGCGTAGCTTGGTCATTGAGATGGTCTTGTCTACAGATATGTCGGGTCATTTTCAACAAATTAAAACGATGCGACATACTCTACAGCAGACAGAGGGGTAGGTTATTTTCCATTCTGTTCATTATAGTCTTTCAATGAGCTCATGTACAAGAAAATAATGTAAATAGTTGCTTTTGTTTTGAGATAATTGGAGCATGTCCTTGAATTGACAGGGTAGACAAAGCCAAAGCCATGTCTTTGATTCTACATGCAGCAGACATAAGCCATCCAGCAAAATCCTGGGAACTGCACTACCGGTGGACCATGGCCCTGATGGAAGAATTTTTTCGACAGGTGCCATTTTTAAAATCTTTTAACAAATCTCGTTCAAGAAGCAATGGTTAAACAATTAAATCTTTTCATAAGCCTACCAGCAAGGATGCTGTTGCTTGTGATTGACAAGCATAGTCAGTAGTATATATTCCTTACTCTTCATACATACCACTGACATTAATTTAACTTTTATGTGCGTGAATAAGATGCAATTGTTATAGCTCTATATCTATTTCAGCTGATACCAGCATTCTGAGTGTTGTAGCATTTTTTTTCTTTCAATAATAATATAACTTGTCAAGCTGTTTTCATTCTGTAGACAGAGATTTATATATGCTTTGAGTTAAAAAGAAGCACCAGCAGGGTAGGATGAGGGACTTGAAAATAGAAACAATTCATGTTCAGCAAAGAAGGCAAAAAGTTGTCTCTATTTCACGTTTCAGAAAGCCTTCCTGTTTCTTTTCTTTGCCAGTGCTTGCCATGCATATACCACATAGATCTGAAGGTTTTGCTTTCATAACAACCTGATCCAAATCCAGAGGTTAGACAGTATCATCCTGTTAATGCTGTGGCCATATATCCTAAAACAAAAATGGAGACACACCTTTGTGACAGTCTTTTCATTTCTGTGAGATACCGAATTCAAAGAGAAAGCCCAGTAGGTGTTGGTGTCACTGCTGCCATTTTTCACTCACAGCAGGTGAAAAAAAAACATTTCTCCAAAGGGGGAATACTCTCCCTGTAATGGATATTTGTGACCGTGCACATTTTTAACATAACAGTTACTAAAGTACAACTGATAACAAAATCCAGTTTAGGTATTACTCAGTTTCTACAGTTACACACAGGCTTTTAAAATGGTTAATACAGATAATGAAACAGTGTATGTATTGCTCGTCTTGATTTTTGTTATTTTGCAATATGCTGACATTTTCAAACCAGATACGTCACACTGGAAAAAGGGGTCAGAGAATAAAAAAAGTAAGTATGATAAACCATGAGGTTGTTAGGCCCATCTGCCCTAGGAGGTTCCTAGAGGTTCTTTATATGAATTCTCAGTAGGGAGCGTCAGGACGTCCTTGACTCTGGGCTTTGCACTGGGGAGACAGATTGGAGAGCTGGTGCCTTAATCTAAATAATGAATGGACTAAGTTTTGTGGAAATGCTGAGTAGAGTCATGAGTTTGTGTCTGCTTCTGTAAATGGAAATGATGAGGATTTTGAACTTGAGAGGAAAAAGGAGGAACAGATTACCCCAGATATATGTTACTTGAAAAGGTCAGAAATGACCAACTGTAAAAACATTTTAGGCACAGAGAGACAGACTAGGCAGAGCCCACGGGACAGTGAGGCAATGTGTCCAGTCAAGTGGATGTAGCATTAGCAATAAACAGTACCACACTGGTTGTTGAGTGCATAGGATCTGCTAATGTTTTTAGTTATTCCTTTATCCTTTCATTAGAAGAAGTAACTGGATCCCAAATAAGCTGCTCAAAGACTTGAGAAGGCATTTAACAATAGAATCAAATCACCATATATGTATTTCTGCAACTCAGCAGTATAAATTGTGAAAGTCTTTGAGGCTGTAGAGGAGTGTGCAAGGAATTGAATCCCTCTTTATATGTACTACTAAGAACAGCATGTGTGGAGTAGTTCTAACACATTTAACATGTGATGAAGTAACTGTACATATATACATGCACTGATTAGTGCAGACACAGTAGGTCTCCTGCTTCCTAGATGCACTGGCTTGGTTGTGCATCCTCTGGTCTCTTGATCTGAGTGTGTGTGGTGGAAATCTCTGGGATTTCCAAATTTCCATCTCCAGCCAAGAAGAAGTAGTCCAAATGTATACAAAGCCCGCTAATTCCTCCTCTTCTTTTCTTTAAAAATAGTAATTCAACTACTTCTATTGCCTTAGAGGAAAAAGCAGCAAAGCCTGAAACTGCTGGTGCAAAAACAATGCTTTAACAGGCAGCTTTCAAAGTAGTGAGAACCAGCAAAAAATGAACATTCACCTAGACAAAAAACTTTGTTAACTGCAGCTAATAGTTAAAATATGTGCCAGTGTTAACTTCAGGGAATAAGCCAAACAGCACTTTAAGTTTAAAAGCAACAACTACAGAAAGTGTGTTATAATGCCAAGAAAAATCTGAGCTACTTGTTTAAAATAGAAATACACCCACCCATCTCAAAACCTTAAAAACAAATACATAGTTCAAGTCACTCAAAGAAGTATCACAGCTCCTATAACATTCTGCTCTCAGTCTGAATAGATCCAAAAGCACAAGAAGGGAATTTGTCCAGTGAGTTTATTGATTTTTTTTAATTTTAAATCTCATGAAATTTACAATAGAATTAGACTTATATGACATTTAAGTATTAATTATGTATTATATTAATTGCAAAGTAATTAATAATTAGGGTAAAGAGCTACTTGAAAACATAAAAAAATTCAAACTTTCTTTGCTAGTGTGGCATTTTTTCTTTTTTAATACCTAGTTAAGGGAAGATTACAAAATTAATATTGCTTTAGAAATCCTGTATTCAACAACGGCTGAAATTGTTAGAACCACGCCAGTTTATATTATATCACGATCTGGCTCCTGCATTTACACGGAGATACCACTGGCACTGCTCCTGGTAGTAAGTGTTCATGTGTTCTACACTCTGAAGTCAAATTATGAACACTTGGGCATAAAATTGAAAGGCCACAGTGATAAAACTCTCCACTTCCACATGAAATACAATCTGCGAGCTACATCTGTTCCTGTGACTGAAGTGCTTTTATTGGTATTATAGTTCTAAACTTTTCCCAAATCTAGTTCAATGATATATAATAAAAAGACTAAGGAAGGTTTATACTGCCCCCTTCACCCATCAGCTTCTGATGAGATTTTTGGGAAAATGTTCATGTACTGCTCCCCACTGAATGATCATGAAACAGCACTCTCCATGACTAATGTAATACGTAGAGCCATTTTACTTGAAAGACTAAGTTTTCCTATATCTATAATGTCAGTGCTTCTGGGGGCCAGGTTTGTCCAGCAACACAAATTATAGCCTCCTTTGAAAGATGTCTCTTCAGGGTTTTTTTTTGCACCACTATACTTCCTTTTTAGGCTTTTGCAAGTCAGTTGGTCTACTGTGCTGAAAATGGAGATAACACCCCCCTGTCTGTTAAGACTGTTATGACAAAAAAACTCTTTTAATGTGTTAGGTGTTGAAATATTTTCAGAACTAGGTTTGTACAAGTCATCTTGAGTAATGAAATTGAGTTTGTGCTTTTTTATGGCTTCAGCAGCAGAGAGACGTGCCTGCTAGTGAGAATGAGTTCAAGTCAGATCATGCCCTTGACCTGTATAAATCCATTGAAGAAATTTTACACGTTGGATAAACCAATGTAATAGAAGGAAACATATGTTTGGCATATTATTACAAACATGTCTAAATATCTCCAATCCCATTACATCTGGGATCAGCAGCACTAAACTGTGAATTTTGAAGGACTTCATATATGTTAAATGTAATTGCCACATGCCTTGCTCTTGAGGAGAACTTGCATGCAATAAGTCCCTTTATATAAAAATTGTCAAATGTAAGTTAGAATTTTGGCTTTTCCTGAAAATTTAAAGATAAATAATGAGGGGGTTTTTGCTTGTGGCTTGTTTTTATTTAGGAGTATAAAGTGAACGAAGTAATCTCCTGAATAAATACTGAAAATGTTCAGATTCCTTTGCCTCTCTGTCCCTCTATCAAATATGTGCTTATAATATTAAATGTTGTTGTTTGCAGGGAGACAAGGAGGCTGCTTTAGGTCTTCAGTTTTCCCCACTCTGTGACCGCAAGTCTACTTTGGTAGCTCAGTCCCAAATAGGTAATAATAAATTGTGTTTTTCTTTTTCTTCTATGTGTAGGAGCATGTAAAATCATGTGGGCATTTCTTATGCCCATTTTGAATTTTAAATGTTCCAAATGCCATCATATAGAAGGTATTTCCTTGCACCTATCTGTTCACTAAACTCATATGCTCTTACAGCAGAAATGTGCTGGTCTCAAAAGAACATGAAGTTATTTCAGCACACGATGCCAAGGAGGGGTAGGAAAGGGATTAACCAAAGTACTGGACATGAGCTCAACTTTTATTGTACTTGCTTTAGAGTTTGGTAGATCATGTCCTCAGACAGATTGACTCTTGCTCAAGAACTCACAGGTCTGTGTCTACTATAATCTGAAATTCTGGTAACGTTTTGTAGATGCATCTTAATTTAAAGCTAATTCATACATCAGATCTGTGGACTGCAGACTGTCAGTGTGGCAGAGTCAAACTACACAAGGTCAAGCCTGCTTGGGTTGACAAGGACCAGTGCATTCTGTTCCTGTCAGTCCTAATTGCATTTTGGTCAACAGTGGTCAAACTTCAGCTTCCCATTTTCAGAAATGCAGGTCTTGGCTCTCTCTGTCCCCATTTCCATTGGCAATAATAAGGAAATAAAAATTGGTAAAGATCACTGGGGCTAGTTACAAGGAGATATTAAGTAAAGCAGTATGTCCTACCAACAGCTGTACCTTTTATGTGAGTGAACACAGTACTCAGGGAAAGACTCTATAGGTGACAGTCTCTTATTCTTGAACTGAAGCATGTCATCCTGTCTGATCTTGTCACTCAAAATGTCTTTTATTCCATTTCACTGGGACTTGAAAGGCAACAAGCTTGAGCATCATACCTACTGCAGGAGGGAAGGTGGATCCTAGGCTGAAGCACTGTTGCTCACCTTTGTGCTGTGTTGAATGGTTACAGTATGAAGACATCTGGAAATCCATTGCTAGCTCATGTTTTAGCATTTTTTTTTTCTGTTAAGTGCTCAGCAGAGAATAATGCTTCATTCTCTCACTATGTCATTCCATACCTTGATGAGCACTTTAAAATGTAAAAGACATTGTTCAGAGCTGACATCTCAGAACTGTGGGATGAATGCTGTCTCCTAAGGATATTACTTGTTCTCTTCACTGATTTGACAGAACACTCCTACACACTGTGAAATAACACTTTACCTCCACAGAATAATAAACAGCAGTTTGAAATATTAACTCCTTGGCAAGAAGAGCTGAATGGTAAAAGAAACAGTATGACTTCTATAGCCCCTTGGCTCAACTGTAGCTTCCTTTCTATTCAATAATTAATATTCATTTCAAATGGTAGGTGTGTTCTGCAGTGCATAAAATTTACAATAAAAAGGAATGAAAAGCTGTAATTATTAATATCTAGTTATATCTGTACAGCTTCAGGTGTTTTTGGTTTTGTGCTTTTTTCCTCAAGATTATACTAGTGGTATCTAGTGTATTGAATCAGGACTACAGTCAGAAAATCAGCCTGATATCAAGTATTTATTTTTAGATTTGAGAGCTGTAAAAATGTAAAATCTGATTTTCTCTCTTTTTCTTCTTTAGGTTTCATTGATTTCATAGTAGAACCAACATTTTCTCTTCTTACGGACTCAATGGAGAAAATTGTTATGCCTCTTATAGAGGAAGCATCAAAATCTGAAAGTCCTGCATTTGGGACACCCAGGTATGAATACACTGCTTAGTTATTGAACTAACGTAAACTAACATAATAATGTCATTCGCAGAATTATTGCAATTATTTTAACAGTTGGAAAACATAAATAGCTGTACAGTATTGCCATCATGTGGTGCTATGTTGCATTTGCAATATGCTTTTACTCCATTGACTGTGGATGATCGTGCATATAAAAAGGCATAAACACAATAACAAGCAGAATACACATGTATAAAATATAAAGTTGATTTTCTACAGAGTATCTAATAACAATTTTTTTCTTTTGACTATAATCTTTGCAATAGATTATTGAAGTTCCTGGTTCTCTTCTCTTGAGCCATTTTCAGTATAATTTTAATTGACAGTACCAAAAGTCATTCTTTTCTTTCTGAGAAACAATTGGAAGTGGAGGTGGTGGAAGTGGTTTCAGGTTTTTTTCTGATTTTTATTATGCTGTAGGTCACTCTTCTTCACCGCTTCATTTTAGTATTATTTGATATATACACTTGAGACAAAACTGATTCCATTTGTATTCCACTTGAGAGTTCTAAATACAGTATAAGTGAGATGCGGGGGTGGGGGGGGTTGCCCATCAAGCTCTTGATTTTTGCATCATAATGGAAGTTGTCTATAAAACAAGCTAGCTATGACAGACAATGTTATCTGAGTGACTCCACGCTGAAAGCATCATTCAATAATCAGATGTTGCTCTTACAAATATTGCCTCTGTTACCACATGTTTTTTCGTTTTAAAACTGTAATTTGAGCTTTCATTGAGGATACTAATATGATAACTCTGCAGGGCAATTTTTCATTTGCTGTGCATTAGTTAGATTTTAACAGGAAAATGATGAACCTTGCTCTTTTCTGATCATGACTTTACCTGTATTTCGGTTACTAGAAGTAAGTAGAAGTTACTAGAAGCAGGTATTTATGACAGCGTTCTTAGTGTTTTGGGGAACAGTGTTAAACTAAGGCATTATTGATAACAACCTTGTTTACCTGCTCACTTCTTCACAAATGAGTGATTAGCAGCTGCAAATGATTAGTAGCTCTAGGTTTCATTTTTGGTTGGTGTTCATGACTGACTGGTAGATGAACAAAGGCTTATGATCCAGCAAAGCTTCCTCACGTGAGATGGAGGACAAAGGGATTTTTTTCTTAGTATGGAATCAAGAGCTACACTTATGAAGAGAGTGGAGAGCCTATGGCATGATGCAGAAATGTCTAAGCCAGCAGAGTTGCACAAGCACCACTGGATGGACGCGATGCGTATATGGCGTGACATTCACTGTAGTGCCTGGAAAACATTAGAATTATAGCCTGTTCTTTCCATTCTATCCCATTCAACATCTCTGGAGCACACGGAAATTACAGTTAGCTCTTCTTGTGCAGTTCTCGCTGATATGTTCCCTGCAACTGTATTTTCTGATTAATGTAAATCCATTTGTATGCATATTAACATCTGTCTTTCTTTGGTACCAATGAGATTAACTATGCAGCATAATTGAGTAAACAAAACCTGGTATGACATGATTACTTGTACAAGGCCAGAAATAGGTCTGATTTTTTAATCATAAGAAAAAAAGAGAGTTCATTCTTTTTTTCTCACCTTTACATGTATCTGCATATTCACATACGAATAATCAATTTGACTCCTGCCTTACCTTAGGTGTAAGGTAGGTGCAGTAGCTCTTAAGTGGATTTTAAAGCCACTGTACTAACTCCTGCTTTGACTACACTTGAAGGCGTGTACCTTGAAGAGAATTTTCAGCTGAACCTGAACTTACTTACCTGTCATATACTTTTGTGTCTTGCTTTTTTTAAATGGGTCAACAAATAACAATCAGATGTCTTTCCTGTGAGCCCCAAAGATACCATTCACTATTCAAAAACAAAGCTAAGAAGCTGCTCCAAAATGGCTACATAAACATTCTTTCAAGAACCAACTTACAAGTAATGTATTTTCAGCTGTCGCACTTTTTTTGAGAATTCCCTGGAAAAAGGTCTGTAAGAATCAGTCGCAGGTTATAGCTTCATGAGTTGAAGAAATGTCTTGTATCTTAGGCACTCTTTGATGAGAACTATTATTTCAAGTTAGTGTTTGCATGTAGGTCCTAAGGAATTTGATTCAAATTAACTGTTTGTGTGTTATTAAAATTCCCTGACTGTTCATAATTTAAGGTTTTTTCCCTTCTGCAGCCAGAATAGTTTGGGAGCAGTAAGCAATGCTGAAGCACAAAGACGACCCGGTTTTAAAAGTACCAGTGATGGAGGGACTCACACAGAAAATTCTCTAGCAACTGTAGACCTAACGAGGTTTAAGGACAACTTGATGAAGATCATTCAAGCAAACAAAGAAAGATGGAAAGAATTAGCAGTAGAAGGTATGATATACCAAGGTGGAATATTTTTATAGGTTACTGCCTAAGATCTCCCCCTACTTTATTTTTTAATTTCCTTCAACCTATAAAAATATGTAGTTGTCTTGTATTCATATATTTTATGTCTTAATGTTTGTTTAGATGGTCCTGTTTTGCTCTCCCAGGAAGTATAAAGAGAACTAGGTGGTCAGGGGATGAGAGGAAATCTTATAGCCTGTACAATAAGGCTCTGTGCTGCTCAGCTTATCTTTGGAGGTCTGGTTTAGAAATGTGCATGCTTGCACATTTAATCATAACTGATACTGACATCTGCTTTAAATGCCAAAATCAACAATTCAAAGTAGTATGTGCTGCCACATTTCTTAAGAAACATAAAAGTTGTACTTTGCTATTAGAAATGCTATTTGTTCCCTACTGTATGGAACAAAATTCAGTATTGCAGGCTTCTTGGGACTATGCTGTAGGCAATTATTTAAATGACTCAGTGGATCTAAAGATTTGGGCAATCACAACATGTATTAGACTCAAACAAGGCAAAAAGTGACTCTTCATTTGCTGGTTGATAGTTAATAAAGCTAAGCCTACATCAAGCATCATAGTTCATAAGCCATATCTAAAAATTGTCTGGGGTTACAGTTTCTGAGTGAGATGATTTGTGATAATTGTCGAACAGAATTTATAACCTTAATCCAGGTTAAGTGAATGGCATTTGGGAATATTTTGACCACAGTCTGTGTTGTTTCTGAGTAAGCACCTGGAATATATCAGTATACTGTTTTACTGCTGGGATTGGTCTCACTGTACATGACCTGATACTGACTGCAGGAAATGGTATCCTAGAACCCAGTGCCAGCCTTGTCTTTCATCCCATCATCCAACGCAGCATCTTTTTTCTCAAAGAGGTGTCAGACAAGAAAGAAAAACACTGCTGAGCAGTGCTAAAATCTCATTTAGTGCTGAATTGCGAATGGATATTCTCATTAGGAGAATATTAAGTAAGAACAAGGTTCTATAATCTATTGTGACGATGACTTGAGAGTTAGGTAGAAGGGACAGCTGAGGAGAGATTCAACTAATATTGTCTTTTCTTCATGAGCAGCTTCATATGATCAATTGCCTCTTTTGGTATTGTCCAGCTAACACTGACTGGTCAAAAGGACAAAGCTGCTCATTTGCGATGATCAGTAGTAATAGCAGACCATCAGTGTTCCCAAGACCACCTAACTACAGCCTGCAGAAACCAAGCAGCCCTACATGCAAAGTCCTTCAATATAGAAGAATGAAGAACTTGCTATTGGGAAGTTTGCCATTTCCGGTTGCATCTAACTAACCAGTTTGATTTTGGTACATCAGCTTTTTGGCATATTGTTTTGGAGGTGTACAGTGCTATCAAAAAGATAATATCCCCTTCATTTCCAGTACTTTGTAGTGCTCTATAAATTACTGATAGATTCAGCCCAGTTTTACTGGTCTGTTGACAACCATTGAAAACACAAAGCTTCTCACAGCAAGAGATTTAAGAATTGTTTTTCTATACAGTCAATATTAATGTGAGGCCCAGCAAGATCCAGCAAACTCTGGGCATGCTTTCTACTGTGAAAAACAAAGCTGTTAATGTTCAAGACTCCATGGATTTCGTTGAGATTGTAGTTGTCCATATTCTAGGATGCCCTTCTTTTCTTCCATCAACTTGACTAATGAATTATGTCTAAGTATTTCCCAAACAGAGTTATGGAATTACAGTAGAATGTACATTAGGAAAACTGATGGGTAAGTGGAAATAGCTGGTGTTGAGGCCTGAGCTTCATGAACAATATCTGCTCTGTGTGATTGTCGTTGAATCTGTTTTGCAAAACCTCTGTGAGAGCAAGGAAGAGATTTATAGAAAACTGTGCCCATAAAGAGACTACTTGCAGCAACGTCTGCAGTTGACTGGAACATGGCACGGAGACCTGCAGAGTGCCTGGTTAGAATCTAGAGGAACCTTGTGAATAATGCAAATACTTTTGAGTACAGATTTATATTTTGTTAGTACACAGATAGTAAGTTTTTTAATAAAAACTGGGGGGGGGGGGGGGTTTTATAGATTTTGTGGAAGTTAAGATATTTTAGGAAAAAAAATGGGGGGGGGTGATTATATAGATTTTGTGGAAGTTAAGATATTTTAGCTTCATTTTTTGGAAGCAATGTGTGGGCATTTCCTATATATGTGGGCACTAAGGGCTGCTGGAAAAGAGGTTTTCACTAAGTGAAGGTTGCCCTCTATAGAGCACTATCTGAGGTAGCACGTAAGTTCCTTGTCACATAATGGGAGAAGGAATCTTCCTCAACTGGTCCAGATCAGCATTATATCTGCTCTGAAGCTGCACCCTGCAAAGGCTGAAAATCCTTAATCAGACTGTGCAAAATTAACATCTAGTAAAGAATGAAAAATATTGAAATACATCCCCTTTCCACTTGAAATTCCTTTCACATTGCACTCAAGTTTGACTAAACTTGTAAGTGAATAACCTGAGACCTTGAACTTCAGGTAATTTGTTCTGTCCTGTCTGGATCTCCTGTTACCTTCTCTGACTCTATTGCTTGATGAAAAGTCTTTAGGTTGCTCTGGGCATATGCATGAAGTTGTGTTTTATTCATATGTTGGTAGGAGCACATACAGAGGGAAGAAATACCAGGGGTAAATCACTGCCAGGTGAAAGGAGTTTTGTTATTGCTGTCATTATTCCTAGCTAGATAATTTATGACAAACCACAGAGCTGAGTGCACTGAGAAGGTCACGTGCGTGAGGGCAGTATGCCATGGTAGTAAGCAGGCTGGCTGTTAGCGTAGAGCTCCAAACGCACTTCCTGAGCTGACTATGACAAACAGTACTTGTGCTGTTAAAAGAACCATCTGCATTCTTGTCAGTGGGCTCCGCAAATACTAGACATTGTTCCCGGATTAGTTCACAGACTCAGGAGAAGTTGTCTCTATAAAATAGTAATACACATGCACAAGTAATATAGAAAGGAAACTGGTGACAATCCATATAATTTCCTGAGCATGACTTGAACTTGTTCCAGCTTCTCACCTTTTCAGAACAAGGCTACTCAGGTAGCATTGATTGAGAGGCAGTTCAGCCAGAGGTGAGCGAGGGCTGAGGAAGGTGGTCTGACTTCTATGCCTAGACAGGAGACCGAGACAGGAGACAGAGACACACTGACAGTGCTGTTGACAAGGCAGCCTTCCTGGAGATGTAGCAGGCCCAGCTGCTGGTGCTACCCCTCCCTGAAAAGGTAGTTGCTGCTAAGACTTGATTCAGAGCAAGCAGCTTGTGCAAGGAACAGTGCGCTTTGTTTTGGAAAGGCCTGTGTTAGTAAGGAAAGCGTTTATCTACCTAGGCAGCTGTTTGAGAGCTTTCTTAACAGAAGGCTCACTAAATAAGATGGCTCCATTTTGCTAAAAAGGCCATGTCTTGTATAATTGATGCAGAGGAGCTCAGTGCTCGATAGCCTAAGGGTCCTCAACCTTTCACCACTGGAGAATTAGAGGAATGTTTCTCAGGCCTTTCAGGGAATGCTGTTAACAGGGAATTACCATAATGATCAAACATCTGGGATTCTAATTTGAAAGCCTTGATGTTTAATTAATATTCCAAACCCCTAATCACCGGATAATCTGTCTTTGTTCAACTCAACACAGTGATAAAGAGACCATTTCATCCTGTGCTTTTTTCAGCACATAGTGGTGATGTCTGCTGCTATTTGCAATTGTGGTAGTTGTAGCAAATAGACAGTAAAGATGCTCAGATGCGTCTGAGAGGTTGTTCATTAGAGAAAATGTTTGCTAAATGGATTTTAAGGTCTGGAAGTTATTGACTTACTGGAAGAGCTGTAAAAAACACACAACTTGTTGGGAAAGATTTAAATATAATGTAAGCTACTTCATGATGCAGTTCTTACAACATAGAGAAATTGTAACACAATGATTTAATATTTAAAAAATACAATGTTTATTCCTTCTGCCTACAAAGTTTATTCCTTCATGCTTATTTTGTTCTATAAAAATGTTCTAAAGATTTACTAATCAAATCGGTCAGCGGTTGGCAAGCTCAGGTACTCTTAACAGAGTAAAAGAGTATGAGTAGTAATCATGCTTACTATCTGTTCAGCAGATGTCATTGTAAACAAAGTTGCAGGGATAAATAAGTATCATTATCTTAACTTTACAGTTGAGCAAAAAGAGGCAGAGACGGCTTAGGACATTCACCTCAGGTCGTATAATAACACAAGGGAATGCAGCATACAGACCAACGGGCCCATCTCTGAAGCATGCTAACGTTGTTCATCTCCAGGATAATACAACAGCAGTGTTACTTGTTGTTCCCGTTCTGAGGAATTGACTTCTTACAGGACCTGACCAGAGGTTGCATTATTTGTATGGAAAGTGATCAGTGACAAACCTCATCCTCAACGCCTTTTGGCAGCGCACTGTGCTGCATGGTTCAAAGGTGTATGTCTGGGATGACTGACTGCATTAGGACAGGATGAAAAATATGTGAGGCTGAACGAGGCTCTTGCACTGTTCTGTGCTTAATTTTGATAGTAAAAATATGAAAAAATGACAACTATTGCATCTTTGGAGTAGAGATCAGCAGTTTGGGGTTTTTTGTGTTGTTTTTCTTTTTTTTTTTTTTTTTTTTTTTGTGGGCCATTACTTTGAATAACCAATGTCTTTTCTGAAAGA